TGAGTTGTTTGTCCGGATCATGGTGCTTACTTAGAACTTATATCATAAAATGGTTTGAAGATCATAATTTAATGACTTTTTATTTAAATCAGTAATGTCTTTGTTTTTAGATGATCCTCTTGGATGGTTTACTTTTCTTTGACTTTACTGATAGAGAATGTGTCTTTATTGTGCAGATGCTTATTTATTGAAAGGAGGAAAATCTAGATATTCTTCCTAGTTATTAGCTTGTCCTCAGTACTTATATTAGAATGTTTTTTTTACAGCGTTTCAAGGGTACTGAAACTGTAAGTAAAGTGTCCGAGCAAGTGAAAAACGTGAAGCTTAATGATGATAAACCCAAAGAATCCAAGTCTGAAGAGACTCTTGATGAGGTTTGTATATATATATATTTTTTCTTTTTTATGTAGTACTAAGGATTGAACCTAGGACCTCACAAATGGCAGGCAAGTGCTATACCCCTGAACTAATCCCAAGTATCTGTTTGAATTTTGAAAACGACATCACTAATTTGCATAGGCTGGCCGCCCTCACCTGACTAGGGATTAAAAGGCCTGATAAAGTCCATCCCTGAGCCCACCTAACATTTGTATTATCTCTGAATAAACTAAGCGTGGTTGAATGCAGCTACTTTTCCAGAGCTAAGCTGTGATTTGGACTGTACTGCCTGCTTCTCGTAGTATAGAACTAAACCAAAGAGCTGGTAGCTTCTGGCCAGAGCTTCCAAGCTATTTTAAGTGCCCAGGTTCTGAAGCCAAGTTGGTCTGAATAAAAGAAACTTCCTTCTAAGTTATTTTTAGCCTTTCTAACGAACATGGTGTACCTGACTATGGAAACAGCCTGGCTTCTGGGTGTGGGTTCATGTCTAATCTTTCCCAGAACAGAACAAGTTTTCTGTTCTTGTATAAAGTTTGAAGAATCTGATAAAATCATTTGGGGGTTTGTTTGTTTGTTTTGGAGACATGGTTTTTCTTTGTAGTCTAGGTTGGGTTCAAACTCTTGATTTTTTTTTTTTTTTTTTTGCCTCAACCACCTAAGTAAAAGAATTATAGGTTCAAAGCTGAATGCAGTGGTGCACGCCTATAATCTCAGGCCTCTAGAAGGCAGAGGAAGGCAGATCTCCGGACTTGGAGCACAGTTTAGTCTACATAGTGAGTGCCAACCCAGCGAGGGCCATGGTTGTCCCCAGAATAAACTGTTAAAAAGAATTTCTAGTAAAACACTTTTTTTTTCTTTTAGTTTTTAGAAACAGGGTTTTTCTGAGTATCCCTGGCTATTCTGAAACTCACCCTGTAGACGAGGTTGGCCTTGAACTGACAGATCCACCTGCCTTTGCCTCCCTGAGCGCTGCTGGAATTAAAGGCGTGTGCCACCACTGCCTGACTAAAACACAATTTCTTATGAGCCTCAAACAACCCAGAGAATCTTAAAGGTTATTTTTGATACAACCTATAGCTTTAACCATTATTTCTTGGCTTTAGAACCTGTATGAATATTTAATTTTCCTTTTATTTCTTCCCGTGTCTTACAGTAATAAGGCTCTCATTTTATTATATTATAAACACTGATGTCAAATACACATTCTTCCTCTTCCTAGATCCTCTTACTGAACTTGTATTCATCCCTGTTGTTTCTATGCTTGTACTTTGAAACTACAGAGGAAAATGGTAAAGAACTGACCAGAAAGTGTTCATTAGGCCTTGTCTGAATTCATGTTAATTTGGTTAATTCATGGCTAAAATCACAAGAAAGTACTCTGAAAATCACAATGCAATTTATTCTGTCATATGTCTCACAGGATATATTTCTCTTAAGAAAATTATAGGCTGGTGCAGTGGCTCAGTTGGTAAAAATATTTACAGTTAAGTGGAGTCTTGAATCCTTAAAATCCCTGTAAAGCCAGATGGAATAGTCCATTTGCCTGTAATTCTAGCCCTCTAAGGAAATGGGAAGCAAAGACAGAATCCCCAGCTTGCTGTAACTCAGGCTTACTTAGTCTCCCGAGTGCTGGCATTATAAGCGTAGGCAGGTTCCCATGCCCAAATTAGGCTGCTTTGTTTATTTTGGTTTGTGTTTTGTTAAGGCAGGAGGGGCCATCTGGTCCTTAATTTATTATTTCTCTGTTGTTAAATGCTGTACTGGGCTGTAGGTTATTTAGAAGTATCTGGGCTCTTAGTTTTTGTCAACATGACAATGCTAGTAATGTGGAACAAGGGAATCTCATTAGAGATTTGCTGCCAGCAGATTGGCCTGTGGGCATGTCTTGGGTCATTTTCTTGTTTGATGTAGGAGGGCCCAACCCACTGGGTAATACCCGACCCTGGGCAAGTATAGTCCAAGGTTGTATAAGAAAACAAGCTTTCCTCCATTGGTTCCTGTGTTAACTTCCCTCAGTAATGAGCTGTGATGGAGACATGTAGGCCAAATAAACCCTTCTCCCCAAGTTGTTTCTGTTTTGTTTTTTAAGACAGGGTTTCTCTGTGTAGCCTTGTCATGAAGTGTGATCTGTGGACCAGACTGGCCTCAAACTCGAGATCCACCTGCCTCTGGCTCAAGTGCTGCACTTAAAGGCCTGTGCCATCACTGCCCAGCCTTTCTTTGTTTGTTTTAACATTTATTTTATGTGTCTTGGTGTTTGGCCTGCATGTATGTCTATGTGAGCGTGTCAGATCTTAGAGTTACAGACAGTTGTGAGTTGCCATGTGGGTGCTGGGATTTGAAGCCAGCTCCTCTGGAAGAACATTTAGTGTCCTTAACCGCTGAGCCTTCTCTCCTCCAGCCCTTCAAGTTGTTTTTGATCATGGTGTTTATTACAGTCCTAGCAACAGAAAGCAAACTAGGACAACATCCGTAAGCCCCTCCCACTTGTTACAGTTTAAAATGTCTAAAGACAATACTGAGTTCCTGAGGAAACAATATGGTATAAGTTCTTGTATAAGGTCTATGGTTATGAAATTCTAATACAGTGCTGGTGAAATGGCTCAGCTGGTTACAGGTGTGTACTGGGAAGCCTGCCACCCAGATTTTGACCCCCAGAATTCATGTAAAAGTTGAGGGAGATGAGTTTTGAAGAAAAATGGCTCAGAGGTTAAAAAGGGTTCCTTCTTTTCCAGAAGGCCATGTTCAGTTCCCAGCACTCATGTGGGCAGTTCATAACTACTTCAGGGGATTGTACTCTCAGGCCTTTAGTCATCCACAAACATGTGCCATGCGTTCACAAACACAAAAATAAATCTTAAAAAGTGGGGAGTGGGAGTGGTAAGAGAATCAATACAGTAGCTTTTGACCCACATGCATAAATACACACTAAAATTTTTTTAATAAAAAATTGAACATGGTGCCAGGTGTTGAGTTAGAAGCTTGCAGGAAGCATTGCAGAGAATACTTAGCAGCTGTCCTGAGTTTGAAAATGGATAGGATTCCACAGAGATTGTTTCCTGCATGGTGTGGGCCTTTGGGCATAAGAGTAGTAATTATTAACATCATTCTAGGAACTGACTATATTGAGGATAAACTTGGCAGGCTTTAAAGTACAGTTCTTGCTGAGAAGTAAGCTCCATTTACATGTATGGATGACTCTGCCTTTTAAGGAAGAATAATAGGATAGGGAATGACAAAAAAACTTGAACAGGGTCAGGAAGTGGAGCTGTTTTTAAGACCTAAGGTGTAGTAGTATTCATAGGAAACCTATGTGGAGCCAGGTTGGCCCTTAAACTACCTACTTGAGCCAAGAGCTGTAATCTTGAGGGATGTCTGGGACAGTAACTACTTCTGTCAGCATTGCATTGCATTTCTCAGAGGCATAAGGTAATCTTAATGCAGTGATTCTCAATCTTCCTAATGTTGTGACCATTTAATAGTTTCTCATGTTGTGGTGACCCCCAAACATAAAATTATTTCAATGCTACTTCATAACTAATCTTACTACTGTTATGAATTGTAATTATGACCCAAAGGGGTTATGACCTGCAGGTTAAGAACCACTGCCCTAGAGTTAGGCCCTTGAGTTATTGGAAACTACTACTGTTTCTTCAAGTCTTCACAAGCCAAAGTTCAGACCTAGTCCAGGAGAGGATAAGACCCTGACTAGTTTGGTAAATAAAGTCTTTATTGGCTGGGTGTAGTGGTGCATGCCTTTAGTGCTAGCACTCAGGAGGCAAAGGCAGGCATATTGCTCTGAGTTTGAGGCCAGCCTGCTCTACAAAGTGAATCCAGGACAGCTAGAGCTACACAGAGAAACACTGTGTAGTTTTGGTGAGAGTATCTTTGGCAAAGGGGCAAATTATTAGCAGTTTAATTCATGTTTGGAAAGTGAAGGAATACAGAGCCAAGGGAGGTACTTGTACATAAAAATTGAATACAAATAGATAAGGGCAGCTGGAAATGTAGGCAAATGCCTACATACCAGCACTCAGTGAGCCAGAGGCAGGTGGATCTCTTGAGTTCGAGGCCAGCCTGGTCTATGAAACCCTGTCTCGAAAAAAAAAAAAATGAGAATACTACTTCACTAATTATCAAACTCAGGAACCAAGTAGATTTTAAGTCCTTGATAACTAATCTTGCTACTTGTTTTAAAAGATTTACAAACCAGTTCCATTTCTAAACACAGAAACTTTATTTGCATGACTATTTTTTACCTCCATTTTTTGGGGAAGAGGAGAGGTTTCTCTGTGTAGTCTTGGCTGTCCTGGACCTGCTTTGTAGACCAGGCTGGCCTTGAACTCTCAAGAGATCCATCTGCCTCTGCTTCCAGGAGTGCTGGGATTGCAGGTGTGTGCCACCACGCCCTGACACACCTCCAAAATTTTTTGTTTTGAGACATGATCTCAGCTTTTAACTCTGAGTTGTCAGGAACTCACTATGTTGACTAGGCTGGCTTTAAACTTAGGATATGCCATCCTCTGCCTCTTTGAGTGCTGGGATTAAAGGTGTGTGCTACCATTCCTGGTTCCATCTAAGATTCATTTTCAGACTGGATGGAGGCAGCATCACTCTTGGTACCAGTACAATTCAAATTGGTGGTGGTGGGGTGTCATAATACCTTAGGAACTGTTATTTTATTCTAACTGAAAATTTATGGTATGGAATGATTAACATAGTAATGCCTTAAGAATTTTAGTTTCCAAAGATGCTCTAAGTTATACAACATTAGATTATGGCCTTGTATGTGAATAGTATTCTTGTTGGTTGGGAAGGTTTCTTCCTCTTGGCAACAGGGAGTTAGTTACTTTGGCCTGACTGTGGTAACCATTATTTACACAAATGACTGTCATCTCTTTAAAAGGACATACATAACTATATGCATCTGTTTTTAGGGTCCACCGAAATACACAAAATCTGTCCTAAAAAAGGGAGATAAAACCAATTTTCCAAAAAAGGGAGATGTTGTTCACTGCTGGTATACAGGGACACTCCCAGACGGAACTGTTTTTGATACTAATATTCAAACAAGTAAGTGTTGACTTTTGTGCGGTACACGAATGAGCAAATGTCCATTCTTATTCTTGCCTACTTTTCCCTATGTCTTTTATACCAAGACTTTCTTAGTGGTGATCTACCATTCATGGGTTCTTGGCTGGCAAAGAAATCTTGATCATTTGGCAACAAAGAATGAGAAACTTGAAGACAACTTTATGTCTGCTTTAGATCTCTTGAAGCTTAGAGGTTTAGCTTGCCTGTCGGTTGTGGCACTCGAAGCAGTGGAATTAGCATTTGCTCTGCTCCTGGTCAGTAACTACTCAGCCACACAGGAATGAAGGACTTGTTCCTTTGAAAAAAGCATTAATATTATACATATAATTACCCATTAAGGTTCCCCAGCTGACCAAGTCTCAGTGTCAGGCTAGTAAGGAAAAACCAGTATTCAAACCTAGCAGTGTTCCAGAGTGCTTTCTTTTATTTTATAAAAGAAAATAAAGATAAGCTTGGTGTGGTAGCTCATGCTTTTTATCCCAGCACTTTATAGACAAAAGGCAGGAAATTTACTCCAAGTTCGGGGTATAAGTCATGAGTTGTAGGCCAGCTACATAGTGAGATTCAGTACAGAATGCTATTTAGTGGTCCTGATCCTCACCTGTCAGTTTTGTTAACCTCGATCCTACATGCAGCTATAGGTAATTGTGTGTGTGTGTGTGTGTGTGTGTGTGTGTGTGTGTGTGTGTGTCACAAAAATCATATACTTTGAACACGCTTTAGAATTACTCTTGTAACATGATTGGGCAGTTCTTAAATACCTAATATTACAGTTTAAAAGGTAAATAAAATTACGATATGTGACTAAAAGGAAAATCTGTTTTGCAGGTTCGAAGAAGAAGAAAAATGCCAAGCCGTTAAGTTTTAAGGTTGGAGTAGGCAAAGTTATCAGAGGAGTAAGTAAATAAAGATGGCAGATGTGTCCCTAGGTATTCTAAAAAAATGCTATTTGTGGTGTAAGGCTCTAAAAAGTTTGGATTGTAGGATGGGGAACAGCTTTGTAATGGAACACTTGCCCAGCATATGCAAGAATCTAGGTTAGATTCTAAACACATCTTAGTAGTTATTCTGTTGCTGTGAAGACACCTGACCAAGGCAACTCTTAAAATAAAATTAGAGGCTTGCTTACAGTTTCAGAGCTTAGTCCATTAATGTAATGGCCATGAGCATGAAGACATGGTGCTGGAAAAGTAGCTGAGATCTTTACATCTTGATCCACAGGCATTTGGCAGGAATCAAGCCTGGCGTTGCACTTTTGAAACCTCAAAGACTGGGCTGGAGAAATGGCTCAGGTGTTAAGAGTAGCAGATGTTTCTCCAGAGGTCCTGAGTTAATTTCCAGCAAACACTTGGTGGCTCAGAACCATCTGTAATGGGATATGATTCCTTCTTCTGTTGTATGTGAAGAGAGAACACTCATATACATTAAAAAATAAAACGCACCCCCAGCAGTTCACCTCCTCCAACAAGGCCACACTTAATCCTTCCAAATAGTTCCATCAGCTCAATCTATAAACTTATAAGGGACATTTTCATTCAGAACGCCACAAGACACACAAAGTGATCTTTTAAGTCTATAGACAGACTTTCTAGTATCCGTGCTGACTGACCTGGTACAAGTTTTCTGGGTGTCATTTTCATCATCTATAAAATAAATCCTGGACCAGGTATGCTTGCTCACTAATCTTCCACCCTAGCACTCTATAAGCAGATGCAGCTATAGCTCTTGAGTTGGAAGTCAGCCGGTCTACATCAAGTTCTGGGGCAACCAGGGCTACATTGAGATCCTGCCTCCAAAAATAACACCAAGATTCCAGAGATATATGTAGTGAGTAATATAATTGGGACTCAAGAGTAATTACTATGAATAAGCTTACTTTTACTGTTTACTTAATAAGATAATAATGTCAGAAAACAGCCTTTCACATTTAAGATTTTTGTGAAAAGTTTTTATGTCACATATTATGAACACATCTTTTCTACTGACGTACCTATAGAAACAGAAATATTGTGCTTTTATTTGCCCAAGCACATGAGAAACAACAAAGTAAATCTTAAAGAGATGTAGGGCTTAAGTAGGATAAACTAATTTACAATGTATGAAGAAATTAGAAGTCAGGTTGACAATTTTAAATTTTCATGTTAGGGTCTACCTATTTAAATTGCAGTTCAGAAGTTCAGATGGTGACACCCAAATGCTTATTTAATGTATACATCTAAGATGTGACTTAAAGGCTATGTTGAACTCAGAACGCAAAACACCAATGGTTTTAGTAGGTGGTATAGTTTTATATGTATAAGGCTTGATGTCTAACCTAATGGGGGGAAAAAAAAGGCTGAGTGGATTTTACAAATCCACTCATGTAAGCCATGCTACATAGAAAGACCAGGGTCTGTCTCAAAACAACGAACAAAAAAGTTATTTTTATATTCTGTATACTATGTGTAAATAAGTGCCCATGGAGGCTAGAAGACAGGGTTTCTTAGGAGCTGGAGTTAGACAGCAGCTGCCTAACTTCTGAGCTTACTCTCCAGCCCCAATAGAATTTAAAAATAGATATATTTGCTGTTCTGTAATTACATCTTTTTTTTAATTGACATTATTTGTTTTTGCTTTTAGTGGGATGAGGCCCTCCTGACTATGAGTAAAGGAGAAAAGGCTCGACTGGAGATTGAGCCAGAATGGGCCTATGGAAAGAAAGGACAGCCTGATGCCAAGTATCCTTTTTCCTTTATATCGTATACCCCACATCTACCCTCCATTCCACCCCCAGTTTACCATCAAGCTTTTCAACCTGAATTACATAATTCTAATTATAGTCTACATGGTAAACAGAATGCCCACAAATTTTTCTTGGACTCCCATCTTGCATGCTATAGTATATAATTAGCTAAATTCAGTAATTTTTTCAGTTTTTCTGAGACAGGGTTTCTCATCCTTGCTCTGGACTCTCACTTTGCAGGCCAGGCTGGCCTCTTAACTCACAGCTATCCACCTGTGTCTGCCTCCCAGAGTGCTGGGATTAAAGGCCTGCACCACCACGCCCATCTCAATTCAGTAATTTTTTAAAGACTACCTAGAGGTGTAAAAATGCTGTTTAAGCATGCCAGCAAGTCAAGAATACTTTCCAGATAGTCTTTCTGATAGGCAGGAGGTTATGTATCTGCACGTTCAATGTGGATAATACTCCTTGTCCGTGCTGAGGCCACAGGAATGTGACACTGGCTAGCTGGTTATTTTCTGTTGATGTTTTTCCTTGTTTTTAAGATAGGGTCTTACTCTATACACCTAGCAGGCTAGACCTGTGTAGGCACGTCCTACATCTGCCTCCGAAAGTCCTGGGGATTTAAAGATTACCATGACATCTTGTATTATTTAGATTCTTACATTTCAAAGTATACAGGGGTCACATTTTCAGATATGCACTATTGCTGAAACGTGTATTTTGAGCTGCAATACCCGTACACACAATTTTGTGCTATAGTGTCATTTAACTGAATGAGAACTCAAAACTTAGAAATGGAACAAACAACAGTTTAATTTACCATATGTAAAATGAAGGAGACCATGGGACAAATAGGGTTAGTAAGCATTTGTTGATTACAGTGTTTCTGTGAAAGGCCCAGTTTGTCAACATTTAGAAAAAGCAGAAAGGCACCAGTTGTAGACCATTTAGACAAACTTAATCGAGTAGTTAACTGGGGAGGTAATCTGTAGCTGTTTTGATATTGGGATTTGTAGGGGATAAGGAGTGAGTTAAAAGTTGGAAGTACTCTCTGTAGTCTTAAAGTTAAATTCATCCCGTGTGAAAGCTTCGTACAGCATGAAGAAACTCTTCTCATTCTCCTTTGTTTTCTGGAGATGGTATCTTTGCGTAGACCAGGGAGTCCTCAAACTCTGAGTACTACATGCATCTGCCTCCTGAGTACAGAGATTGTGGTTGTGTACCAGCAAGCACAACGTAAACTCATCTTTTAATTCACAATAGATGACATATTCTACCTCATACAAACGCTGATTCACTTTTAAGTAGCAACCTTCATAAATTATTGGATAATCTGGTACCATTAGTGAAGTATCCAGGTGAGAATGCTTGTTGAAACTCAGTACACTTTTTGGAGACTTAAACTAGCCTCTAAGTCAAATACAAACCTCTTCCTCTTAGTATTGGGAGTATCCCTGGGCTACCCCAGAACTTTTGATTCTGTATCACACAAATGATAAGCACATTTCACAATTCTAATATGCTATCTATGGTTTAGTGGTTGAGGTGGGCACATTTCATCAAATTTCTCCTTGACTGTTTCCCACAGAATTCCACCAAATACCAAGCTCATTTTTGAAGTAGAATTAGTAGATATTGACTGAAACCAGTGCTTCGGCAACAACAAACACTTATGTGATTAGTGCTTGTTGTTATTGTAAGGGAAAAGTCAACTGGAAAATTTAAGGCATTAAAGCTTGTTTACTTGATCTCAATTTTTGAGAAATGTAACCATCAGATATTTTACTACAGCTATGTAAAGTATTAAGGAGAATTGCTTTTCCTTTTACCTCATAAACTGAAAGGCTCAATAAAACTGTCATGGATTGTCTTTATTTGACTGTTGTGTTGCTATATTAATATTGTGATTACATATGCAAGATTACAGACTTCATAATAACTGCTGACCACAGTGGCTACCTTTGTCCAGGCCATTTTAAAAATACTACTTCATGGTGAAAGTTCAAAGGCACAGAACTTGAAGCAGAAAAGTATCCTGGTAGTAATCTATTTTTGGTGTATAGCCCCCAAATGATTTCATGAACAGATGATGCACGAGTCTTCATTTTTATTACAAAAGTGATAAGTTTGATCAAAATGAAAGCTTGCTCACAACTTTTACATGAATATTCTAGATACAAAGTCTTCCAAAACATACTTTGATCATTTTTTAAGGGGATTACATTTTCTCATAACTATTCCAAGGCAGAACATGTAGTAACAGTTCATCTTTCCTGGAGTTAGAGCCAAATTCCCAAGTATAACTGAAACATTAAGACAACCTTAGGGTTTAAGGTTAAAAGTCATTTTCATTTAAAGTTTGTTTTTACAGGAGATAAAATTCTCAATAACCAGCCCTTATTTTTTTTCCCCAGAATCTTAACTGACATGATTTGCAGTCAGTTTTTTTGTCCCTACACTTAAGGCTACAAATCTCTTGCATGAGCTGCAGAAGAATTCTAGACCATTTAATGCAAAAAAATAAGATAAAAATAAAAAAAATAGTTCTCCAATAAAAAGTAAACTTTAAAAATGGTAGGAAAGTTTCTATGGTACACTACTAATTGACATTTTCTGCTATTAACCAAACAAATGTTACACAGAAACTGGGAAGACAAATTATCAAATACAAGCTTATACTATGTTTACATCCTTCAAAAAAAAAAAAAAATAATTCCGCATTTCTCATATAACCCATCTGAAGTTTACATTTTCCCATCAGGTTGGAGGTGGAGGATAATACTGTCCATAATTCCAAGGATTCTGATAATTGTACTGAAAAGGTAAAAGTAAACATGTCAGAATACAAGATGTGCAGCTATGTTCCACATAAAAAAATTAAATAGGCACTGATGTAATTCCAGCACTAGATCACAAAAGGAAATGCACAATATTATTGTAAAGAATAAGTTACGCAAACTTACCTGATACCAGGCACTGTAATTATATGCAGCTTGATTTGCCTGTAAATCCCCATCAATGATCTGTGCTGTTGACATATCTTCTGTATGTGCTTTTTTTTCTTCCGGTTCTTCTGAGCTACATAACAGATGAAAACAGAAACTCAAAAACCTAACATATATGAACTTCCCTAAATGATTACACCACATATATTTGTTCTATTATGTTTTCAACCATCTTTTGGGAGCAAGGTGCTGTTCCTAAGATAGCTAGTGGGAAAAATGCCTTACCAGACAAATTGTAAACGGACTAAAAGCTAAACACAGTTTACCTTTATTATCCTAAGAACTTTACCTATCATTGCTGCCATCTAGATTAGCTGAGCAGAACAAAGGGACTAATCCTTGTCCTCAGGACAAACAACAGCCTGCCACTCCAAGTTAGAGATTTCAGACTCTTCAAGGTAATGAAACCCTTTCCCAATCTTGCCCTAGAATTTTTGGCCTTCTTATTTTCCACAAATCTACAATGCTCCATTATACCAGATGACCTCTTGCTGGGAAATTACGTGCTTTTGGCAAACTGGCCTAGGGTCTAGATGTTACCTGTTGTTCATTTGTTCTTGATGTTTAAGAAGACTTATGGTAATGCACATCTTTAAAATCTTCAGAAATCAGACTGCCTATGCAATGTTCCTGTTTCTGCATAAGCAGTTACAGTGAAGAAGTTACACTGTAAATGAAACAACTTTGCAAAACAAAATTACTTTGTCGTCTTGGTAGCAACACAACCCTACTAAATTTGCCACCAGATTGCCTTTAACTATCATTCTAACTATAAGGCTTTTCTTAAATGTGCCCCTAACTGTATGGTCAGTGGCCCAACTCTACTCAACCTAATTAATGGTTTTCCAACTCTGTCTCATCTCCAGGTTCAATGAATCTATATTTGGGACGTTAGGGAATCCATATTTGGCCATAGAAGGCAGCCTTGATACTTGCTTCAGAGAACCACTGATTTTTTTTCAAACCATAAAAAGTATACATTATCTTTCATATTGAAATTTTTCTCTTTAAGTATCCCGTCCTCATTTGTCAAGAAGTTACATACCCATTTTCAGCTTTCCTTTTTAAAGTATCCTGTTCTTTTAGGAGTGTTTGATGTTCATCATATGCATTCAGAAGCCTAAGAAGGAAGGAAAACAAAAATCCTATGCGATGTAAAATTTTGAAAAAACGATTTAAAGTTATACAGAGTGAGAAAACAACTTATATAAATTTCTAAATGTACTCTGTGTGTTATCTTTTAAGATTTAAATCTAGTGGGAGTGGTGATACACGCCTATGATCCCAGCACTTAGGAGACAGAAGCAGTGAATCTGAGTTCAAGACCAACCTGGTCTACAAATCGAATCCAGGACAGGCAGGGCTAAAAACAGAAACCCTGTCTTGTAAACAAAACAACAAAAACAAAAAGAGATTTAAATTTTTGTGCTAATATCCAGACTCTCCATACCTAAATTATGCTTAAGGGCCTACATAGTTAAACTAGTAATTTGTCTGGTTATTACTGACAAATCAAAATGATTTGGTAGCTCATTTAAGCTTGTCAGTTCCAAGAGTTTACTGCTATAGCAGGAGCTCTAATCTCAAAGGCACAATACAATCAAGACCCTAGTTCTGGCCAGGTATGGCATGTGTGCATGCTACACTCAGAAGGCAGATAGACATCTGAATTCAAAGTCAGTTTCAGGCTACAGTTTAAAAAATGAGTAAAACAACCCCTACTGGAGATAAAGGTTCAATGGGTCGGTGGGTAAAAAGCACTTAACTACCATGTACAAGGCCTTGGCTTCCATACTTAAGACTACCTAACACTATTCTAATCGTGTGCATGTTACTGTTAATATGTCTATTTCCATCACTGTGTCTTCAACAGAATCCAGTAAGAACCAAATGAGACGAACTCTTTAGGAAGAATGGCAAATCTATTTTGATTTATAGAGAACAATACTTTCATAGGACCCGAGAATCATACCATCCAAACTAAAAGCTATCATTTATTCTGTATATAGAAGACATTGACTATACAGCAAACCAGATAGTTAAGAGCAGAAACTATAAAACTTGTGTGTAATTTTATCCTCATAATAATGACTTGAAAACTTTGGATAGCTGAATGAGCCTCTCCATCTACTAAAACAACAGTCCCAGTACTCATTAAATTGCTATGAAATTTATACTACAAAAATATAAAATACTTAGCATGATTTCTATGTTACGCTGAAAACATGCACACCATCAAAACATGCATATAGACATAAAGGTTAATGTGGTTTCAGTGGAATTCATTCTAAATCAGATCAGATATGCATGCCTATTAGGCACGGGGATATTTTACAGCAACAGATAAAGACTGGAACTTAACCAATGTTCCATATAGTATTTCTACTTGGAGGATTATCAAATTTAACTTTCAGCCTTTTATGATTCAGTAGGATTGAGGCCAGTAGGCAAGATCTGTGTGACCACAGCTACCTTTTTTTCCCAACCTGAGATAAAATGGCATTCCTACTCCAGATTAGTCCTACCTTAGCTCTGTGCATGTTGCTAAGGCCTGAACTCAGGACCTTGTGCTGAACTTGACATCAACTTCAGCCCCCCTCCCCCCCAACCTACCCTCACATCTCACTATTCAATCTTTATCTCATTTCTCTTTGTGTGGCCCACATGGTAGGAGAGAACTGCTACAGGTTGAATTCTGACCATCACCATGTGAACATGTGCATATGCACTCAGAAAAACATTGATTTAAAACAGAAAAACACTTTTGAAGGAATGACAAAGCTGACATCCTATTATGCATACACACATTTACAAAACTGAATTTACCTCCAAATGAAGGAACAGGACCTTAAACAAACATTTTTAAATTTAGCAATAGGTCCAATAGGTGGTTCAGCACATAAGGCATGTTCTGTCTGGGCAAGGCAAGCCTGACTACCTGAGTCTGATCCCTAGCAACCATTAAAAGGTAGGAGAAAAACCTAAGACGCTGTCTTCTGCCTTCCTCACACACATCTTGGAACGTGTGTACCCACTCCCATACATACACATCATAGAAATGTTAAAAAAAATTAGCACTGTATTAATTAATGCATAGTAACCAAATGTTCATCACAGAATTAACAATACTCATGTTCAATTAAAAGAGATGGGTTTAAGATCTTACTTGTTAACATCTGAACCAAAATCTTCAAGGAATTCCACTTTTCTTTGAGAAAATGTAATTCTCATTTTAATAGGCAATGAACCATGTATGGCTTTGTCAAAACAACTGAGAATATTTTCTTCATTTTGTCTGAGGTCACAACTGTATTCCATTTCAAGTAAATTGAGGTATAACTTTGTGTTCTCCTGAGTAAAAAGCAGTGTCAATTAGTAACATTCATATACTAATTCAAGTAAAGCATAAATATTTAAGATTAAAATATACTCATGTCTGTTTTCAGCATGCGTATAATGAAGTGAAACATTCTTTAGGAAACTTTTCCTGTCCTGTGGCACTGGTAGCTGTGTACAGCAGACAAATGCTCTATCACTTGGCCACAATCCCTTTGCTTCTTTAGCAATACTGATAAGTTTTGACACCACCCCATTATTCCCCATACTGTTAAATGCTAACCAATTAATGCTCATTATCCTAAGTTAGTTAACTGGACTGGGCCCAGCATGAAAATTGAAAATAAAATACAAAGGATAGTCTGCAAAAAGAAAGTCACTATGTTGCTTTGTTTGTTACTGTTATGCTTTGTCTATAAAGTCTTCTCTCTGGCACTTTATCCTAGTAACTATTATCAAGTTTGAACAGTTTCTAAACATTAATTACAATGAACACAGTATTTACAACTATAACTCAGTAAACCAAATTTTCAAAAACTTTAACTAGAACAATGTTAAGAATGGCAACATCAGTTTAGAGGGACTGTTGTCCTCATTTAGTAATACATATATTACTGTATAGACCAAATCTTTCATCATAGTTGCCAAAGTAAAACAGTACTAACTTTTTTATGGAAGATGTTATTTAAAATATGCATACCTTATCTTTTTCAATTGCTTCCAACAGTACCTTTCTGGATTTTGGAAGATTTTTCTGTATTTTGAAAAGATGCCGGGCTAGTTTGATAGCATAAAATGATGACTCATTAGTTGATTTGGCATTCTTTATAGCGTCTTGAAGCAGATGTTCAGCTTCTTCCATATTTCCATGCCGTCGTTCTAAACTTACTCTTCTCAATCGAACCATTGCCAATCCTAGAACACATTCTTCAAATGTACTCAAGATAGTCCTGGCTTCATTGATATTCCCTAAAATAGTAATTAAATACATATACCTTTGTTTAAATTTCCAAAATACTTTACATCAAGCACTGAAAAACATTAGCCTGCAAGATAAATCTAACAATTAATTTAACAATAAATAGCCGTTACTTATTTTGTACTGTAAAAAGCTACTCTTAGAATATGCCAAGGCTGTTAAGGAACCCACATAGCTTTTACAGAGTAATTTGCCAAATTCTTTATATATCCCTCAGTACTTAATTCCTGTAACTCCATCCTTATATAAAGTGCTAAAACATCAATTAAGGGGCTGGAGATAAGATTCAGCAGTTAGAAGCACTGGCTGCTATGGCAGAGGACGCAGGTTCACTTCTCAGCACCCACAACCATCTGTTTAGGGCAGTCCCAGAAGTTCCCATGCCCTCTCTTGGTATCTGCAAACACTAAGCATGGTTATGCATGTACACAGAACACCCACCGGTATAAGTAATGACATACATTCATTGAAAGAAATCAATTGAACATTTCTTACCCTGCTGTTCCTCAAAAGCTGCCCAAAGCATATGTGCCATAGGTTTCTTTGGGAGATGAACAGTACAAGCTCTGCTGAAGACATGCCTCACTCCTTCAATGCTATGGTTTTCCATGTACTTGGCATACTACATACAGAAAAGAGGAAATACTGAATAATTTACAGTTGAACATGTGATTAAATATGTGACAGAACGATAAAATTCTATTTTTAAACCCATTCAGCACCTTTATTGAACCACTAGACTAGTTTCTGTAAGGAAGGACGAAGAGAGGCAACGAGGTTGGCATATGCAGCAGTCAAATCTGGTTGCAAGCAGACCATCTCCTAATGCAACAGATATAGTTATATGAACAACATTCAACAGAAGTACAAAAAAGGTTAGTCACTAGATCAATGTTATAAAATATGCAAGTTAAACACTATATATTTTTCTTACCTTAATCCAAAACTCCTCATAGAGGGCACAAGATATGACGCATCTTTCAAAGAGAACCACAACTCTTTCGTGAGTCCCATTTTCAATTTCGAATTCTAAGTATTCTTTCCAGTTTTTCAGTTGTGCCTTTTCCAATGGTTTCACATGAAAATAAGGTCTTTTAATCTGTAAAAATATTATTAGATAACAATGAAAGTAAAATAATATCAAAATATTTTAAGTATAATAATACAAATAATTTTAAATTATTTTTCAAAAAATTTTAAAATTCAAGACTAGTTTTGGTGGGGAGTTTAAGACAGGATCCCTACATAGCCCTGGCTGTCCTGCAACTCACAATGTAGACCAGGCTGTTCCCAAACTCTTAAAGAATTATTTTGATTACTAAGGTACACTATTCTGTTTATCACAACTATTTTACAGCCAGCTACAATAGACATATAAATCCACTCATAGGCTAGGCTATGATAGGATAACTTACAAAAACAAAGCTACATCAAATCTTAAGACTGGGGATGAGGAAGCTAAGCAGCAGGTGAGTAAGTAGAGTAAGAACTGAAGAGGAAAGGTGAGAAAAACGTTATCAAATTGACTATGCTGATGGTAATACATGTCTGTGAACTAATGAATGCATACTTCAAACAGGCAAATAGTTCAACATGGAAAGTATATCTTATAAACGCAGCAAGAAAATAATTAAATTTTATTTACCTATGATAGATGGGTGTTATTTTTAAATAAACACCTAATGTAGCGTAGGCTGGCATACAACCTACTGGGTAACTAAAGATGACTCTTAATTTTTGAACCTTTTATCTCTAGCTTACCAGTGCTGAGATTGTAGGCCCTGGCACCAAACCTGGTCTATATGTGGTGTTGGAATGCATGCTGAGCAAGTGGCTACAAATTGAACTTAATCCCCAACCTTTAGAGCAGCTATTTTATTGTCCACAAGGTATAACTTAATAAAGTTGGTTTCTAAGTGTATTCAAATTAATCAGGAATCTTGCAGTTGAAACCTAAATGCAGTAAAATCCTAAAACTAGTCATGGAAAACGTTAACTACAACTGAGATGCACACCTTGAATAATTACTAATACAAAAAAGAAAAAGAAAAATTAACAATTTGTCACTGCCATAAGAAAAAAAAAACAGGGTTGGAGTTGGCTCAGAGGTTAAGAGCACTGCTTGCTCTTCCAGAGGTCCTAAGTTCAAGTCCCAGCAACCACATGGTGATTCAGGGCCATCAATGATGAGATCTGGTGCCCTCTCCTGGCATTCAGGTGTACATGCAGGCAGAATATTGTATACAAAATAAATAAATAAATCTTAAAAATAAAAGAAAAAAAAAACAATCTTATTTTTATATTTTGAAGACTTATAACAAATACTTACACCTTCTTCAAACGTCCACCTTTTACTAACTTCATGCTCATTGTAATTAAACATTTCTTGATGAATTTCAATGATTCTATGTCTCATGTTTTCTATTTCAGTAATTAGCTTGGGAAAAAAAGAAAAAAGTCTTGTAAGTTACATACTGAAATTCTCCACAGCAACAGTATCTTGTACAGATATCTCAGTCTTCAGTAGGGGGAGTTTTCAATTGTTAAGTGTCATTGTTTTAAATGTACTTTTTTGGTTGGTTGGTTTGGTTTTTGGCACCGGGTGTCTGTACATAGAGCCCTGGCTATCCGAGGCTGGCTGGAGCTCACAGAGACCCACTCGACTCGGCCTCCCAGACGCTGTCACTGAAGTTGCACGCCACCACACCCGGCTTTAAATATGATTTAACAGAACTTGCCAAGGCCAATTTCTTAAGTATTTTTAAAAACAGAAGATTATAGTCAAAATATTTTTTCTAGTCTAAGTTACTTCCATAGGTGTCTCATTGTAAAACTTTATCCTTTACATTCATAACTAAATCATATTGATCTAAATGCCTAGACCTTAACACCCTTCCACATATGCTCATTAGTTTTTTTATCCACTTAACATTTGATTAAGAGGGTTACCTTTGCTGGATCAGTTATATCTTCAATTCCTGATGGAAGGTCATCACCAGGAGGTCCGTCATCACCACTGTGTCCATTTACAGAAGCCAATTCCCTTCTCAGCTGAATGAACTGTTCACCAGTTAAAAGATCTCTAGGCAAGTTATTTTGTACATGTTCTTTAAATCTAAAGGAAGAATTAAAAAAATACTTGTCACGATACCTCCTACATATTATTCCTTCCAATAGAGAGAAAAATCCTACCACTTGATGAAATAATTTATATATATTTTCCACGCTGTCTTTGCAGGGGAATGCAAATTCCAACTCTACTATTTCTCTGCTCCCAATCTTAATCTATCTATAAAATAGAACATATTTTTGTAAAACATACCTAATTCACATTAAAACTGTAATGCTACTATGAAATGTCTGCATTATCACTCTACCTACCACTTACTCCTCCATCCATTAATAATCCAATGACACTGGTTTAATTAAGGTCACCAATAACTACACATGCAAAGTTAATTGCGTATTTGTTCTTCAGTACAGCCTCTCTCTGCAGCACCTGAGGCTGCTAATCATACATTACTTTATAAATTGTCTTCAATGCGTGGTTTCTGAGGTACCACTTTCTTGGTTTTGATTTCTGTTGATATCTCTTGGGTCTCCATCACTACAGGTCTTAATGCTACATTCCCAAGAATTCTCCTTTAGTCTCACATTTTTTATATACTTTCTGGCTAAAGTCTTTAACAGAACTTGAAGTTAGTACACTATCAGTAAAACTCAAAGCTAAAACACAAATCCAATAGCAACTGGACCTTTGGTACCATCTTCTCTCTTTTGGGGGCTTGGAGGAGTCTTTTGAAGGAGCTTTGGATAAGAAATAGAGGTCCTCTCTCTGGGCTTGCAGCAACAATAGAGAGGCAGATATTCTAGGGAAGCAGAATTCTTAGGGGAGAGAGCTAAGGAGCCCCACTGGGTTTAGAGGAGCTCTAAAGAAAGGCAGACTAGCTAGGTAGAATGACAGAAAGAGAAAGAGATTTCTAAAGAGCTAACACTTTAGCTGTAGAATCACGCTTGTAAGTAGGTATTTTGTATATAGTTCAGAAAATAAAAGTTACCTCCTTGAACTAGGTGTTTACCTCAAAAAATAAAAAACACAAGGCCAAAATTTTAAAACTGCCAATTACTATAGCCAATTACTAACAGTATGCAGAAGAAAATGTGTTTTTATATATGAACAATAAACTAGTTTTAAAGTAATATATAAAAACTGAAGCTTTTTATTCTTTTGAGATACTGATTCAATAGTTGTCACTAACCTAAAACTCAAAATCTTTGTACTTCCATCATAGATTATAGACCATATAACCACTACATCCAGCTAACACATTTTCAGTAAGGTGTCATTTCACTATTTTACATAAACACACTACTTTATATCCCTCAGTTTTAATTGGAAACACCAAGTAAGAGCTAAACTATTTTCCATCTTGATTTTAATACGGAATCTCCTATATTATACTTACCTATTTATTTGGCTTGTTTATTTGTTTTTCAAGACAAGGTCTCATTCTGTAGCCCTGTCTGGCTTGGAACTCAGTGATCTGCCTGTCTCTAATTACCCAGTGCTAGGATTAAAGGTATACTACCTAGAACTCACTATATACCTGAGGCTGGCTATGAATGATCTCCCTCTCCCCACCAATTAAGTACTGTTTCACAGCCTTTTTCAGTCATCTTATTATTCATATTCCATAGGATAACAGATCTTATTGATTCTATTTTCTAAATACATCTTTCTGACCTAAATTTTCACCCAAATAAAGGAGTTTTCCAATATATAGTCATTTCATTCCCTTCCTCTATTGTCACTAGAAATGATTTAAAAAGAAAGAAAAGAAAACCCAATGACATAAGCAGAATGTTGTGGCAACACAAGCCTTTACCCCAACATTGCAGGAGAGGTATTCCACTATTGGAAAGGCAGACATTAGAATTCCTCAGGGCTTTCTGGCCAACCAGCCTAGCAAATGGATGAGCTGCAAGTCAGTGTGAGACCCTATCTCAAAAAGTAAGGCGAAGAGTGATCAAGGAAAACACAGGAGGCCTGGAAAAGAACACTGGCTGCTTCCTCTTCCAGAGCATCTGTGTTCAAACCCCAGCATCCTAAGAGTAACTCCAGTTCCATAGACATCAGAAGCACATGTACATAGATTTACAGACAAAATAGTCACATACATAAAATAAAAACAACTTCTGAAAGATAGAAAAACGTAAGACTTTAGCCTTTCAACCTCTAAAAAGCACATATACATGTTCCAACCAATATGCAAGTAACTTAATTTAAAAATACAATATTGTTTGGTCTGGTGGTCCATATCTTCAAGGCCAGCACTTGAGAAGCAGAAAAACAGATCTCTGTGAGGGTTCAAAGCCAGTTTGATCTACAGATAAGGGTCCAAGCCAGGCAGCACTACACAATGGGACCTTATCTCAAGAAGCAAAACCAAACCAAGCACCAACCAAACAAAATTTTACATTTCTTGGGCTGAAAAGATGGATTGGCAGTTAAGAACACTTGATGGTCTTGCACAGGACCCAAGTTCATTTCCCAGCACCCTCACGGCAACTCACGATTGTCTGTGAATTGAGTTCTAGAGGATCTGACACTTCTTGCCTCTGCAAGCACTATGACCTAGCAGGTCTCAGCATACGGGAGACAGGGGCAGATGGATTTCTGGGTTCAAGGCCAGCCTGGTCTACAGAGTTAGTTCTAGGACAGCCAGGGCTATGCAGAAAAACTGTCTCAGAAAATAAAATAAAATAAACATAGCAGGTTTATTAAAAAGATTGAGGGCTAGAAAGAGGTCTCACTAGTTAATAGCATGCATGCACCATTGTCACAAAACACCAGAGTTCAGTTCCCAGCATCCATGCTGGGTTGCTCACAACCCCCTCTAATTCTGATTCCAAGTGCTTTGACACCATCCTCTGGACTCTACAGACAGACAACTGCATTCATAGGCACATACCACCCTCCCAAGCCATAATTAAAAAAAAAAAAAAAAAAACATACAAAAATATCTGGAAGGACAGAATATAGCTCAGGGTAAATAAAAAGATTTAGAGAATACAGATTAAAAAAAACTGGCGACACTATGCAGGGTATTATCTCATCCACAGAAGATTTTTCTTTCTGTTCCCAAGTAATCATGAAATGAACAGCTTTGGCCACCATGTGCTTCCCACTAGTATGTTCTGCTTCACCTAAAGCACTGAAATAAGTACCAAGTAATCATGGGCACCTTGAAAACTGATGTTATATGGAAGGCAGAGGAGCTCACAAGCTCCATCTCTAAAGAGCTATTGACAATGGTTTCTGTGGGGAGAGTCAGTTTTCTTTAAGTACAGCTGGTCACTGTAAGGTTGACCACACTCCAGTGGATGGCCTCATACCCATGAGTATATGGACAATATAGTAAGAAAAAAAAAAATCAAAAACAAAAAAACAAACACACATATACACTGAATTGGGGGGGAGGGGGAGGAGACAAGAAGGGAAGGGGTAATTAAGGTGTAAATATGATCAAAATACAATGTGTGAAACTTTCAAAAATATACAAGTTTTTAAAAATGTTATAGCAATAAAAATCTAACATTTCCCAAAGAAAGGTCCTTTTTTTTTTTTTTTTTGGTGAGAGGGAAACACATTTTATTGTTCTGAGAGTTTCCTTATGCATGAAGCACTAGGCAAGCACTCTACCACTGAGCTAAATCCCCAAACCCGAAATAAAGGTCTTATAAACATAAATGTCACCACATTTTAAACAAGTAAAAACTTGCCTATGAAAATGCTTTGTCTCTGGCCTTCACTTCTACAACATGCATATTTATCAAGCATTTCCAAATACCATGTATATGCCTAGCTCATTATGTCCTAGAAACATGTCCACCTGTTCTAGTTCATGAATACACAGGGCAACCAACCAACAATGTTTCTCTTTTTTCCTTCCTAGTTCCTATTCCAAAACACATCTACATAACTTCTTTTTTAGCACATTGATCTATATTATAACTATTACAAATATTTCATTGAATCTACTTGTGAAATTTAGAATAATATCATTTAAATTTTCAATATACAATATTATTTATAACAATCAACAAAATAGCAAAATACAGAAAATAACTTACAAGGTTGAGACTGGAGAATCATGAGTTCAAGGCCAGCTGGGATCACATGAAACACTCTCAAAAGAAAACAACCCCAAACAAAGTACATATGTTACGTACATACAGTATGGATTTTAAAAGAAAAACCAAACAAAACAGCAAAGACACAATCTCATACTTAGTCAGACTTTCTAGGTTCTAATCAGTGAGATACCTTGTGGCAGGACATTACACAGGGTGGTATAAACCCACAAACAGAGCATTCAGGAAGCAAACGGAAGAGATGGAAGGTCAAGGCACACTGGTGCCACATAACGAACTCTAGGCCAGCTAGAGCTAAAGACCTTATCTCAAGTGAAAAAGACAACAAAGCCAAAACCATACATGGAATTCACAGTACAAAGAACTCTTTTAATAGGTACAATTACTTATAACCAGAAAATCACATTGTAAAGTTTAATTGAAATGGTAATAATTTGAACAGTGACAGAGAGACAAAAAGAAATTAACCCATAAACTACAATCTTTGCTGTTCTGAGTTATGTTTATGTTTATCAGATATGTATATCTTATAAATCATTAAGCTACAAAAAAGAAAAAATTTTTTAAAAAGCCAGACATGATAAGGTATATGTCTATTATTTCAGATCCTTAAGATGCTGAGGCAGAAATATTAAAGATTCTAGGCCAGCATGGGAAGCATAGCAATATACTATCTCAAAAAATAAAATAATATAAAAAAAGCACTATCTGTCAAGCACCATATATAGCCTTACAAATAATCATTCATTAAACGTGATTATCTCATTTCTTCACCTGCTCTGAAGTATCTCACATTTAAATGAACAAGGATATTTTTCTATATAAAACTAATCAATTATTAAACATTTCATAAGATACAAAGAAAATGCCAAGATTAAGACAAATTTTGATTCTCTAGAAAATTAGTTCCATCTAAAAAGATTCTATATAACATTTCAAAATAAATTATAATTCAATACTGAGTATCAATATTGGGAATTAAGCACCTAAATAACCCAAGATATTTCAAAGAAAAGATCTTTCAACATACCTCTGAAAATGATGACTGTACAGCTGTGTTGGAATACCAAGAATACGATCATATATAGCTGTAACTTCTCTTAGATTTCCCTGTTCACTTTCCCAGTTTATATACATTTCCCACAGTTTGTCAGATCGAAAATCCGTTCCTGCAGCTAGAACAGCATGCTCAAAAGTTCTGAAAAATTAAATTGCTCTTAAGTTATCTTTCCAAAATAAACCACTTTTAAATATTATCCCTAAATTTACAAAGTAATACTGAAATCAAAGCTGTATTTCATTGCTTCCTAGGCAAGCATGGATTAAAAATTCATAGCTAAGTTAAAAAACAAAGGAAGATGAGTATAGTTTATCTTATATATAATTACAACATAAACTGTACACAATTCAAAGAAGAGAAACATGTAAAGATTGCTTTCATTGCAGAGAAAAAAAAAATTCCTTTTTCCCCCCTCCGAGACACTCAAGAGATCTGCCTGCCTCCCTAAGTGCTAAGATTACAGGCATGTGCCACTGCATCCAGTTCAAAACTTACAAACTGTACCTCAATTTGAAGAATACATTAGCAAAAATGAGTCTAACATTAGATACTCAAGCTGTCGTAAGCTAATGAGAAGTATATATAGACTTAAGAACTCTCAAAAGCATCTTTCAATTTTAAGTTTATTGTGGAAGCAAGTATTTTACCATATTATCTAATTTCAAGACACCTCTTCAATCACTGGATTTGATATTTAATAAAACTTCAGGACTGGGGAGATGGTCCAGCCAGTTAAGAGCTAACTACATAAACATTAGGATGGGAGTTCAAATTCCCAGAACCCTTGTAAGTACTATGTGACGGGCATGGCAGCCTGGCCATAATTCCAGCACTAGGAAAGGAGACAGGATCGCTACGACAAGCTAGCTAGCTGGAATAACCGACGTAGCAAGCTCTAGGTTCAACTGAAGAGATCCTACTTCAGTGAGTAAGGTATTACTGAGTGACTAAGGAAAACACCTGAAGATTCAGTTCTGGAATTCCATATACATACAACCATGTAGACAGGTTAAATTCTCTTCACACACAATATGAGAACTAAAACAAAACCAAACAACAAACAAAACCCACCTCTTAAGTACCTTAAAAATTAACCAAGGGCCAGAAAGATAGCCCAACAAGTCACATGCCAGCAACCCTGAGGACCTGAGTTCAATCCCCGAGACTCATATGGTAGAAGAAAATTAACTCCCACAAGCTTACTGACCTGCAGCATTTCATTCTTCCCACATTACAGACATAGACATTTTAAAATGTTACAAAAATTCAAGTTAAAATAGATAGGCTCTTTTACCTAAAACAGACCACACTTCTTAAATTATCTCACAACTTTAACACAACCAAAAAGGGCTCGTTTGGAGAAAATAAAAAATTCAAATTTGATTTTTATATACTATTAAGAACTACAAGTGTTTTTTTGTTTGTTTACTAAGGAGGGTAACGTAATACATTTTCTGAAAATATTGTAAGAAATTAAGACTTTATAGTTTCCTGGGCACCTGGCAGAGGCATGGAAAGACATGATACACATACATATATGCAAGCAATAATTTATTTACACAAAATAAAAATATAAATCTAAAAACAATTTTCTAAAACAGATTAGTGTTCGAGAAACAAACAAAAAAAAAACAAAGCTGTGAGAATTTAATGTATATAAAGGAGGCATCAACACAGAAAGACTAGATGGACACTTAACAAACAGAAGGATTAATGTATACAGGACAGGTAAACAGAAAAGTATTAAAAATTAAAAGTACAGGCTGAAAAGATTGCTAGAAGAGCACAGCCTGCCCTTCCAGAGAACCCCGTTTGACTCTCAGCACCAAACAGGTGGCTCAATCATCTGTAACGCTAACTACAGAGGACCCAACATCCTTTTATGGCCTCCAGACAGCAGGCACACACATGTTGCACAGACACCCATATACATATATATAATAATTTTTTTAAACAAACTCCAATTAACAAAGCCTGAAACCTAGGAATAAGGTAAAGACATTTCCTAGAACCATGGTGATGAGGAAATCCAAACACTGTATAGCAGAACTAGATGACAACACTGAGTACAGACTGCAAAAGAGAAACAGCTACAAAAGGGTGAGGGGAAAAAAGGTAAGATTTACAGATTATCAACAGGCCTGTCTGGAAAGCTATACAAAAAGCCTTTATTAGACAAATGAGAAACATGGTTAAGTGAGAAGTTAATCTCAAGGAAAAGAAGGCTATTAAAGCAGACTATGATGAGAAATAATTACAAATTCAAAATGACTAACATACATACACATAATAAATAGATTAACTGAAACCTATCCCTATAGCTATACTAAGAAAAGCCAAGAAATGAGAAAAACAGGAAGAGGCATGTATTCTTTTTAAAAATAAAACAAATAGATTAATTTCTATCAGTGGTAGAACACCTGCCATAGTGTTCTTGGCCATGGATTCAATCTTAAGCACAAAATTTCATATAATAAAACGATAAGCAAGAACAATGACTTATTTTTTTTATATGTATGTATGTACATGCACTGTATATCTGCCTGGTGCATGCAGAGTCTAGAAAAGGGATTTGGAATGCCTGGAAATGGAGTTACAGATGGTTACAGGCTACCATGCAGAACCTGGGAACCAAATCCAGTTCTTCGGCAAGAGCAGTAAATGCTCTTAACAGCTGAGTCATCTTTCCAACCCTAATATAACCATATTAAAAAAATATATATCATAGGGAAAAATATGTGAAAAGGTCATGAAAAAGTGACTATTTCCATACATTTGTGTGAGTTAAAAACTGATACCATTTTGAAGAACATTTGATAAATGTCTTTGCATTTCACAAAAACATATGTTCAGAGACATATTTTGCAACACCGTTTCTTTTAATAAAAGTTTGGTTAAATAAAATATAAAGCTTTAACATTAGTTTTTCTTCAAGTTAAGATATATATTTGGCAGAAATTAAGCATTCTAATTAAAAAACGAGCTGAACAGTATGTAAAATTCACAAACACACACAAACACACACACTATATAATATCTGGAGGCACAGACATTAAAACATTAACCACAGGGCTGGAGACATGGCTTAGCAGTTAAAAGCACAGGCTGCTCTTCCAGGACCCAGGTTCAATTCCCAGCACCGACATCAAAGCCCTCAACTGAGAGGACCCAATGGCTTCTTCTGCTCCCCCCCAATCCCCTTAATGAAGAAGTGCTCAGGAGGGGGGCCAGACACAAAGGCAATAAATAATGTAACCATAGCATAAGTAGGGGGGTGTGGAAAAGAGGAAGACTGAATTTCTTAAGTAATCAAGCATAAGTATTTCATGTACAATTTTTTAAATAGTAAGAATAAAGCAAATAAGTATTAACTTCCAGGTTAGCACTCATGAATACTTCTCTTATCAACATCTGAATACTTATCTAAGTCTACAAATAAATTAAGTATCAAATACTTAACATACCCTCTGATTGTATTGTTTGTCTCAGGATCACCAGGGTCCAATGTTTCTTTTAAGAAGTTTATATAATGTATCCAAAGATCAACACTAAGAGGTATTGCCTGTAGCCCCCGACGATAAACCTAAGAAGAAAACAATAACTGTACCTCAAATATTTAATTATTTCTTAAAAGAGAGGCAACACTGTGTTATCCGGTGAACCTTAGAAATACTAATTACTGGAATTTTGTTTAAATAATCTACCATTACCATTTGGGTGGAGGTTGGATAGAACATGGCAATGTTCTGATCCCCACGTGCAGAGTCTTGATCTTCAAAGCGCAGCAGTCCCTGCATTCTGACCGGGTTGTGTGGGCAGGCTTTGGGTTACAGACCATAGGGCACAGACCCATTAGAGCATCAATGACAGCGTCTGACCAAAAATGCAATAAGACGTAGCAAATGTGACTAGCAAACCAACTATATTGTTTGGAAAATGAGAAATAAATGTAAGTGAGAGAAAAGCCCTGCCCTACTTGTTAAGCTGCAGTGTAATACAGAGGCTTGCACTGCAAAGCTTGACAAACTGTAGAGGTTTAACGCACCTGCCAACAAAGAGAGAAAATATTAGCTACAAATGCCACAATAGTGACAAATGCAAATAAAATACCCTATAAAAAATGTTTGACCATAAATGGTAGGTACTGCCAGCCAGAAAAAAAGAGTCTGTTTTGTTATTAATTGGCTTACAGTACCTAACAGAGAAAACTCTATTCATTGATTTACGCACCTCATCTGATTGTTTAATGTTGTCATGTCGCTTTTCAAGGTCTGCATACTTTTTCCAATAACCATAGCAATACGGGTAATGTATGAAAAATTTGTCAAATGCTTTCCTGGCAGCCGTCAAGTGATTCTGATGAAAATAAAAGATAAGTGTTTAAATATCCTAGAAGTTTTTGTCAAACAAAGATAAAGTACTAACTTTGTCAAATAGCAGAGTAGCTTTTTTGTTTTTTTTTTTGTTTGTTTGTTTTTTTGCCAAGCCTAGGGATCAAACCCAGGCTCTCTCTGATGCCAGGCCAGTGTGCTCTAACTCACTGAACTACATTCCCACAGGCAGGTAACAATTTTCTAGTTTTACATACCCTCACACAAACTTCAGTTATTACACAATATTCAGCACTGTGTCCTCAGACTCCTCATGTTATGTAATTTTTCATACTATAATATATGCTTCTAGTATTATTAAATTTAATTTGAAGATTATTTAAGAGATTAACTTTAATTACAAAACAGAAAGGTTTGAATTGATGCTAACGGATTATTTTGTGCCTCTTACATACACCATTTAAATAGTTACTAACCTCCTGTTCAACGTACTGAAGCAAATATACCCAGCCTGTAAAATCCTGAGGATTAGTTTCTACTGTTTTCCAAAACTTTTCAAACTCTGGAGGAAAGTTTCCTTCTGTTTCTGTCACTGGAAGGTCCACAGCATTTGCTATTTCATTTTCTTCTGCAGATGCATGCACGCTGGGAGAGCCATCAGGTGACTGTTCCATCTCCGTAACGTTCATAATCTCAGTACTAAAATCTGGATGTTCTACTACTGCTACCTCTGAAGTGTTGCCTGTGATGACATTATCAGAGTTTCTGAACTCATCCATGTGAGAATTTTGCATAGCTATTTATTTGGTCTTCAGTTAATGATCTGCAGAAACACACACACACACAAAAGAGAAACAGTTTCCAAATGCTGTAACGTATTTGTCATGACAAACATTTTTTCTTGAGATCTGTTTTTGTTTTAATGTGCCTGCTGGCATGTTATATATACCATGTGCATGCCTAGCCCCCAAGGTCAGAAGCTAATGCTGGATCCTCTGGAGATGGAATTACAAATGGTTGTGAGCCACCAAGTTGGGGCCAGGAACTCAACCTGGATCTTCTGTGAGAGCAGCAAGTGCTCTCAAACAGTGGCCCATCTCTCCAGCTCCACACTTTATTTAAAGCCCTCTCTGCCTACTAAAAACATAGACAGGAAAATTAGTACATTTTATTGATTTATCTGTCTACAAATAATAGAAAATCTGATAACTATCAGTCTTCCTGTCTTAGTCTTCTAAATACCTGGGATTACACGCACCGGGCACAAGGCCCAACCTTTTGATTCTGTAACTAACATACCATTAATATCTACAAAGATAATACTACAGAACGCTGAGTCAAGACCTCCCCAAATTTAAGTCACACAATGTTTCGAGTAAGTCCACTGCATTCCTAGCTATCCCCAAACACAAATGGTCCATAGTCTGGACATATAAAGATGAAATTTATTTGCTTATGCAATACGAAGCTGGCAAAATGTTCTCAACCTGTGGACTGCAACCCCTTTGGGGAGGTCAAATGACCTTTTCACAAGGATCGCCTATCAGAAAACAGATATTTATATTAAGATTTCTTTACAGTAGCAAAAGTACAGTTATGAAATAACAACAAAAATAATTTTATGGTTGGGTGTCACCACAGCATGAAGAGCTATATTAAATGGTCACAGAATTAGCAAGGCTGAGATTCACTGTTAAAAGCTTTCAATTGTCACTTTATTTTCTTGGCTAATCCCTATTGACTACTTCACAGACAGAAGTTGCTTAAAGAAATGTTCAAATTCAACCAGGAAGAAAATGAATGGCAGATGTACATTAGTTAATACTGTCCTTTTTAAATCAGAAAAGCAAAAACTTCCCAGAACTCTACAGTATTACAGCCTAATCCCTTAAATGGAATTAGGTACACTGCTGCTTTGAATAAACTGAATATTCTATTAGTAAATAACATAAGAGAAATAGTGGATAGGCAACTCTTGTCCATCAGAGATCACACAATTCCCCAGGAGATACTGAGCATAACCCCAAATCTATGTATTTTTTCCTTTGATCCAAAAGTCCTAGTCAGTATTTGGCCGAATTTTTCCACATATTTTTCCACAGGCATGTTTGTGCATGAAGGTATGTAGGTGCACCATATGTGTGCAGACGCCTGACACCAGAGGGAGCACTGACTATCCTGGAATTTTTGTTTCAGTGAGCCGTGAGCCACTCAACATGACTGTTAGGAACCAAATTTGTTTCTTTTACAGGAGCAGCAAACACTCTTAATCATCTTTCCAACCCACATGAGTAATTTTTTCTTCCCTTGAATTGTTTATAGAAAATAGTTAAAGTACAATTTGATTAGCCCTACTCTAGACTCCAGGATCACTGGGGTGTGAACAATCTCTTTAAACATCTTATTTGTTGAGTTTTGTGGGGGCACTAAAACATAACACTTTTTCTATAAATTACAGCAAAACCTAGATTTCTACAAAAGCAAGAAAAAGAAATTTTAAAAAGTAGCAACAAATGCCATTTTCTCTAAAATAAAAAAAATTGTATCATTTCTCCCCTAATTCTGTTAAGTAATTGCAGACAAACCAAAACAACACATCATTCATACCAGTTTTGTGAGGGGAAAAAAAAGTCTACCAACTAGTGTGATTTTCAGGATTTTTATTTTTACTGTGGGGGAACGAGTTGTGCCCATGTAAGCGCAGGTGCCAACAGACTCCAGAAGAGGACATCAGATTCCTTGAAGCTGGAGCTACAGGTGGTTCTGAGCCACCCAACTTGGGTGCTGGAAACTGAACCATGGTCCCCAGGAGGAACTCTCTTCAGTCCCCTAAGTTATTCCAATATTCTTTCTAATGTGTTACTTAACTACTATCAAGCACTTTACTCTCAACCACCACTAACTTTCATCTGAAACAAAGCAGCAAACGGTACAAAACACCTTAAGGACAAACAAGTAACCCAGTACTTAGGCACACCGGAATAAAGACCATACATTCAAAGCTAGCCTAAGAAATATAAGAGTCACTCTCTTTAAAACACAAACACACACACCAACAAAGTAAAAGAACCTACAAAACAGAAGAAAATATTACATGTCCTATATCTAATAAGGGATTGATCGTTAATACAACTCAACAAATTATTACAACCCAATTTAGAAACAGAAGATTTTTTTTAAGATTTTCATTTATTTATTCATATGTATTTACCCAACAGTTCATCAGTGTGGAGGTCAGAGGACAACTTTTGGAAGCTGCTTCTCTTTCCACCACATGGGTTCTGAGAACTAAATTCAAGTTATCTGGCTTAGTACCATCTGTCTTTTACCTTTTGAACCATTTCACTGGCCCAAGAATTTTGTTTTGTTTTGTTTTTTGAGACAGGGTTTTTCTGTGTATCTCTAGCTATCCTGGAACTCACTCTGTAGTCCAGGCTGGCCTCAAACTCACAATCATTCCTGCTCTGCCTTCTGAGTGCTGGGATTAAGGCAGGATTAAAGGTGTGAACCATCACTGCCTGGCAGTCCAAGAATTTTAATAAAAGCACAAGCAAAGCAATCTTCATTCTGGAAGCAATGAACACAAATGGCAATAATCTCACTGTTAATTCCCCACTTTGATAGCTGTTGTGAGACACCATCTCCTTGAAGCCAAGGCTGGATTCAACACATGCTTCTCCTCCCTTGGACTGGCGAGTACTACTATCACTGGCATACACTATCATGCCTATGTATTTTTACTTCACCTTTCTACGAAAGCTGAAGCACACTACCATTATTTGTTTCCATGTGTTCTCCTAATGTATTGAGACCATAAGTGATCAAGTATGATTTCTTCTCCTCTTCCTCCCCCCTCCAACCACTATCAAGATCCCACTGTAAAGTCATCTGCAATCTCTTGGTCACAGTGGATACAGAAGTATCTAAGCTTCTATTAAGGCCAAATCAACAATTTATAACCTAGGTAATTTCTCCTACTTATATTCTCAAGAATTTTGCTTTCTAATGTGCACACAAACACACAGAGTTTTGCTTTCCCAATTATCTATTTAGCTTCTTTTAAGAGCAGTCATAGCCGGGCAGTGGTGGCACATGCCTTTAATCCCAGCACTGGGGAGGCAGAGGCAGGCTGATCGCTGTGAGTTCAAGACCCAACCTGGTCTACAGAATGAGTTCCAAAACAGCCAGAGCAACACAGAGAAACCCTGTCTTGAAAAACCAAAACCAAACAAATAAATGTGTACTGGCTTACTTCCATTAAGCATTTGTGTGTGTGACTTGCTGAACAAATGCTTTGTTAAATGCCACTTTCCTGTTTTTAATGATGGAAATAGTCTTTATTAACATTAAATAACTTTTTAAGTTTATATTAAATAAAGATTCAGGATTCAACCCCATGCTAACACAACACTTTTGCCCCACAATCCTTCACTGCTTTCAAATTATTAACAGCCTATTCATTCTTCTGGGAAAATTTAAACATCACTTCCTAAAAAAAAAAAAAAAAAAAATCCTGTACTCTCCAAATTAGTATTCTAAGCAGTATTCTGTTCTGTTCTTTTGAGCATAAATTTGTTCAATGTTGAAGTTCCCTAGAAGATTACAAATGTCATTTTTTTTTTCTTTGAGACAAGGTTTCACTGTATATTGCTGGCTAGCCTGGAACTCACTACGTAAACCAGCTGGCCTCAAATTTGGATACCCTTGCCTCAGCTTCCCCAGAGCAGGAGCTAAAGGTATGTGCACCACACACAGCTAAAATTACAAATTTTTAAAGGTTAAGAGTAAGGTCTGCCAAAATTTAACTGTCTAGAGGCCCAGTATACACAAATTCACTGAATGATAAATAATGCCAGAGTCCTTAGTCACATATTAAAACATATTATATTATATTATATATTATAAAACATAGCATTATATATTATATTATATTATACTCTGATAATATTAGAGGCCAACAGAACTGAATAAATACCAGCCTTATTATTTAACTTTGTAACAATTAATTGCTTAATCAAGCTTCACCTACAAAACAATCACATAATTTTTATACCTTGCCATAAAAATTATCTCCCTTTCTGGTTTACAGAGATGGCTCAGCAGCTAAGAGCACTTCCTGTTCTTCAAAAGGATCAATGGTTTACTTCTCAGTACCCATGCTGAGTGGCTCAAAACCACCTAACTGCAGCTTTAGGAGTTGATATCCTCTTCTGGCCTCCGAGATCAACCAAGTGCACAAATACACTAAAACACACTCACATAATAATATGAAAATCTTTTAAAATGATTTTCTTGGGCTGGAGAGATGGCTCAGCAGTTAAGAGCAATGGCTACTCTTCCAGAGAATATGAATTTGGTTCCCAGGACTGACATGGTGGCTTACAATCACCCGTTAACTCCAGCTCCAAGGCACCTAACACCCTCTTCTGATTCTGCAGGCACTACACAGTTGTGGTGAAGCAAAAGAAACATGCAAGTAAAAGAATTTATGTGGAAAGGGAGGAGGACTTCCCCATCTGTGGACTTGGAGAGGGGTATAGGAGGAGGAGGAGATGAGGGAGAAAGGATAGAATTGGGAGGGGAAGAAGGAGGGGGCTACAGCTGGGATCAAAGTGAATAAACTCTAATTAATATAAAAATAAAAATTTAATTTAAAAAGCATTTATGCACATAAAATAATTTTAAAAATTATCTCTTCACACACATTGCTATTATAATAAATACCATCTCTCCTATACATCAGTGTTTTTTCAAACTAAAGACTGTTTCAAACTAGCTTCTGATTTTTTAAAATAGAAAATCAAAACCAGAAAACATCCAGGTCAGGCAGATAAGGCATCACAAGCCTCTAATCTCAGCCTTTGGGAAGCAGCTAGGAAGAGCAAGAGCTCTACACTGGGCTATACAGGAAGGCCCTGACTGAAAAACTATAATCAACTGTAATCTCAGCCCAGGAAGACTGGACTGGGTAACATGTCAGACAGATTGAGCTACAGAGAAGACACTGTACTGGGGTTAGAGAGATAGCTCAGTTGTTTAGCATCTACTGTTCTCACAGCGGGCTATTCCTAACTGTCTGCAACTCTATCTCCAGGGGTATCCCACACTGGCCTCCACACCCACCTTCACTGACAGGTACATACCACCATGCAGACGCATACACTGGATATGGGAGGGAGGGAGGGAGGGAGGGAGGGGAAAGAGAGAAAAAAGAAAAAAGAAAAAAAGAGTATACACACATATTAAGGGCATATGCTGAGATATATACACAATTCAATTCATATATACACATTCCATTTTGGGTGCAGTAAAAAAAAATTAAAACACTGCAATGTTGTACTTCTGATAGATAAGTAAATCTTACTACATTATTAATAACGTATCATTCTGAATAATAACGTAACATTCTGAACATATGGATTATGCAATATGCTTCCTTACCACCATTTCAGGAGCTCATTACACTTTTCCTGCTTGAGTCTTGGCAATATACTATTCCTCAGACTAACAAAAACTTTTCCTTTTCACAACTCACCACACTAGCAGATACTTTCTTACACCACATTTTTCTATAAATTTATAATAGGGATGGTAGACTCAAATATGTGAGGTAAAAAACTAAGTATGTATCACACAGCAACAATTCCTCTATACTGAAAATTAATATTTATTTTATTTGGGGCTTATTAAACACTTGCATAATAATCAGTATGCTATTTTAACAATTAAAAGGAATTTTGGATAGTGACTTAAATGATGCAAACATGGTGCATTTGGCCTACTACTTTTCTTCTGATGCTTTACACGCCTATGGCCATGGAAGCACATAAAACACTATCATTGACTGTTACCATAAACCAGGTAAGTAATATATATACACTGAAGTCATTAGTTAACTAGCTAGCTGGCTTTACAATCCACAAATTACTCCATGTCTCAGCCACAGATGAGTCATCTAAATACCTAAGCTGCAAGAAAAAAAGGGGGGTTATTATAACAAGTGGTTTTGGCAACCGGTTTTTAGAGACTAAGTAGGATGTTCAGACAGATCTTGTTTCCTCATTTTAAACAATTACGTCCCAGAAACTATGTATTTACAATGTCTGCATAGTCCTCAGAGCTTACATCTTACACCGAATATTAACACACAACATATGATTCTGCTCTTTGAAAATAACACAAACTCAAATTTTACAAAATATTTTTTTCTCAATTCAACTATAAGATACAAACAGCACTAAGTACTGGGTCTTAAAGAAAAAAAAAAATTCTGGGTCCTGCGAAGAGATAGCTCAGCAGGTAAAGGCACTGGCAGCAAACCTCTGAGGAGAAAAGTGAAAAGTTCCATATTTTTAACTATAGAATAAGATTTTAAACATTAGAGGGGTAAGGGATTTAACAGCTGTTGCTTATTTTTCTCAGAAGACCTAAAGGACTGCCCCAAGTCCCAACCTTAGCTTCATTATTTTCTTGTACGTCCCTACCGTCACCCTTTCTAGCAGCTTAAAATTTTTAAATATTTCTGAATACATGAGATCAGTTTTCTAGTGTAAGTTCTTGAACAGATGACCATATCAACAGCAAACCTAAAAGGGTCATTTGAATCGGCTTTACGCGACATAGATTCACTGCATCATCACTAATACCTTAAACTGAGCTTCGAGTAGCAAATCTTAACTTAAAGACGGTACGGATGATCACGAAAGGTGAAAATCTATATAAGTAAATTGTTTTAAAAAGGTTCTACTAGGCTCTTCCACGTGTCCGTCCCCCCAACCCCCCAAATGCTTGCCTACGCCATCAGTTTTGCAATAGCCAATGTTTTGGCCCTCAGAGCCCCTCCATTTCCCGTCGTCCCAGCCACGCCGGTTCCCGGCTCCAGGGAAGCAGGGAATTCAGCCTCAACCCCCGGCGGGTTCGCAAATCCAGACCGGGGCACTCCCCTCGCCCTCCGCGCCGCACCCCTCGCAGCGCAGCCCCGGGGCGGCCCCCAGCCCTGGCCTTCCCAACAGGTGGGACCGGGGCGGACAGCGCAGCCCGGCGCCGGGCCTAGGGCCGGACGGGCGGGCCAGGCCGCGGCGCGGTGCTGCCGGGCGGAGCAGGCCCTCCCCGTCCCGGCGCCTCCCCGCCGCCCGCTCCGGGGCGCCCGCACCGGCTACCTCACGATGGACGGCGCTCGATGCCATGAGCCGAAGCCTGGGCTAAGCTCGCCAAGGACAGGCCTCCCAACGCCTCCGTCGACGCAGCTACCTCAACCGCCACCACCAGCGCCGCCGCCGCCTCTTCGCGGGTAACTGCGCATGCTCCGGTGGCTCCAAATGCGCGGCGGTCACGTGGTGCCGGGAGCCTAGGCCCCGCCCTCTGCTAGTCGTGCACTTCGCGGTCTGGCTTCCTAAATCCCAATGGCGGTGGTTAGGCTGCCCATCTTCAGCCTCCAAGAAAACATCTTAAATATCGTCATTCCTCTCCTAACTTCCCAAACTGTATAAAGCTTTATCAGGAAATGGCCAGAAATTCAGACTAAAACTTTCGTGCCTCAAGACACCACGGGCTGATTCAAGTATTCTGAGTGTGGAAACCTTGGGGACTTGAGAGTTCAAAGCTCTGAGGGATGCACGCAGAAGCTTTCCTCTGTCCGGAGAGTCAGCTTTGTGCTGACCATCTTGGCAGCCCTCTTCAGTTGCATACACCCTAGTCCCTACCTTTAAATAGCCTTTTAAAATCCAGTTTTCTCCCTGTAAGACTGTAACAATTGAGTGAGCAAAATTTGCTTAACACTCAGCAGTCTCCTGTCTGGGGTTCAATTAAATCACAACTAGGTTTTAGCACTTCCCTCTAGAATCGGTCTCTAGATTTTTTTTTTTTTTTTTTTTTAGACGGTTGTAGCCGGCTTAGCTTCTTAACTGCTTCTCTGCTCCTAAATAACCAACTCCTTCCCACACTGGGCATTTCATTTCCATTGGTCATACCTTTCCCTTTGGGTCTTCATTGGTAATTTTGGATTCTCTAACGATCGGCAGCTTTTAAATGTATTCCATCTGAAGGGGCAAGCAGGAGAGGGCACTTTTTTTAAGATGTGTTTATTTTTATGTGTCTGTTTGCCTGAGTGTGTATGTACTTGGACCAAATGCTTGCAGTTCCTAAGGCCAGAAGAGGACAGTCTGTAATAATACCAACTTTCTCATTGATTGCCCTCCCCAAACTCCCCATAATTCACTGCTCTACAGCCCTTACATATTCCTTGTGATTTGCCTAAAATGTGTTCCTCACCGAGAACATAAATTACCCAGGCATCATGGTGCATGCCTGTAATCACACTTGAGGGATAGCGAAAAAAGAATCAGAAGTTTGAGGTACTATTCAACTGCACAAGTTTGAGGCGAGCCTAGGTTAGAGGAGACTCTCAAAACAGCAGCAGCAACAACAACAACAAACCCACACAAACAACTTTAAAAATGGATTGATTCATAGTTCACCTAAAAATAAACTGTATACAATCAAATTTTAAGCATTACAAAGAAAAAAGTGTTAGAGCAAAATACTGTGGTTCATGGTTTAGCACTTCCCAACTTTCTTAATGCAATGACCCTTTAATATAGTTCCTCATGTTGTGGTGACCCCAACCATAAAATTATTTGCATTGCTACTTTAACTGTCATTTTGATATTGTAATGAATCTTAATGTAAGTATGTTTTCAGATGGTCTTAGTGACCCCTGTGAAAAGGGTTTTTTCCAAAGATTGAGAAGGGCTGGTCTACTGGCATCTAGAATACAGTGGTTAAAGTCAGCTGATCTTAGAGGCCAAGAACAGAGCAATCTAAAGAGGAAGCTGGTTATGTGATATTGAGTATATTTCTTCTTCCTGATCAATTCTATGTCAGCCTGTTCTAGTCTCTGGAGACTGACCCTTACATGCTATCTCAGTGAATTCCCTTGTTCCCTGGGTCCTATTGGATCTGGCCAGCTGTCCTTGTCTGAATGGCATGAGGGAGTAAAACTGTGGTATTAATTTCCCCTTCTCTGAGTAGGGTTCTTAAGTCTGATGAAAGTCTCTTTTATCAACTGCTGCTGCTTTCAGATCCCAGGTTTCCCTGGAGCCTCTGCCTTTGCAAACAGTAACTTCTCAAATCCTGATTTTGGTATCCCATCTACTTTTTTGGAAGATGTAGACTGGTATAAAAGCTAAATGGTTCTTTTGTGACTATTCAGTAGAAGGGATTTTGGTTTTTTGTTTGTTTGCTTTCAAAACAGAGTAGTAGCCAGGTGTGGTTATACATGCCTTTAATCCCAGCACTCAGGGAGGCAGAGACAGGCAGAGGAGGCCAGCCTTGTTTACAAAGTTCAGGCCAGCCAAGGTTACACAGGAAAACCCTAACAAAAACAAAAACTCCAAACAAACAAACAAAAACAAATCAAAGTGAAAAACAAGCATAACAGCCCAGTTATGGTGGCACAATCCTGTAATTTCTGCATTCCAGTAAGTCCCTTTCTTTTCTGTTTCTTTACTTCTTTTGTTTCTTTTCTTTCCAAGTATATTATGAGATTCATAGAAAATGAGGTGGTTCTATAACAAAATAACATATCTATCTTCTTACATGGGTTTCCTTGGTGTCTGAGTATGCATGGGGTAGAAGCAACTTAAGCATATTAATTCAACAGGAATCCCAAATAATTTTGATGGACTATTTAACATAGTATTATCAACTACAGTCCTCCTGTTGTAAACTAGCTATATATCTAGATATAATCATGATATGTATCTGCTATTTTGTATTTTAGGCCCTATAGCCACTGTTTTCCTAACTGCCAATCCCACCTCGTCTGCTTTATTCTCTATCATTGCATCTTTAGGCTTTGGGTTGCTTTGCTTTTTTTTTTTTCTTTAGTGTGAGATGATGCAGTATTTTCCTTTCTCAGTCTGGCTTATTTCACTTAGCATGATGTTTCAAGATCAGCCATTTCCAAGTTTTCATGAGAAAAATCTCGTTAAAGTGGAGCTGGAGAGACAGCTAAGCATTTAAGAGCACTTGTTCTTGCAAAGGGCCTGGATTCAGTTCCCAGCACCCAGACGGCAGCTAACAAGCATCTATAACTCTAATTCCAGGCAATAAGATGCTTTCTCCTGACCTTCACAAACACCACACACACACGAAGTGTTTAGATATAGACACAGGCGAAATGCCCATACAGATAAAATAAAAATTAATAAATCTTAAAAATTTTTAAAGTCTTGGAGATATATATTAAAAAAGAGAAATACACAAATGTGCACAAATTAAAAAGCTTCTGCACCTGACCATAATCTCAGCCCTCTGGAGGCAGAAGGATCAGTATGAATTCTACAGTAGCCTGAGCAACATGGGAACTACAGGCCAGTCTGGGCTGTGTATCAAAAAGACTGTGCCCAGACCAACCCAAATCAAACCAAACCACAAAAAAGACTTCTGCACAGAAAAGAAAATAAGCAGAGTAAAGAGAGAACACATGAAATGAGATGAATATTTTCAAATCATAATGATGATAATGGATTAGTATCCACCTTCAAAAAAAATTAGCTAGAAAACAAAGAACCCTATTTTTAAAATGAGCAAATGACTCAAATACCAAATAAACACAAATGGAAGGGCACGGTGGGTCAGAAGTTAAGGTACTTGCTATTAATATTCTGGCAACTTGAGTTCAACTTGAGCGCCCATGGGGGAAGGACAGTACTGATTCCTGCAAGTTGTCCTCTTACCTGCACACATGTGCTGGAGCCTGTGTGCTTGTACATACATACACAGACAGCCACAGTCACACACATATGACTAAGCTTAATTTTTAAATGACAAGTAATTGGCCAACACACATTTGAAAAATAATGCCCAACATCACTATTTACCACAGAAATATATTTTAAATACATGGAGAGTCAAATGTAGTGCCTCAGACTTGTAATTTCAACACTGAGGAGGATTTGGCAGGTAAATCATGACTTCAAGGCTAGATCCTATCTCAAAATCAAACAAGAAGACAAACAAAACCACAATGAGATATGAAGCTAATCTTATTAGCAGCATTCTTTTCCACAAAGACAATGAGTGTTGGAAAGTGAAGAAATCTTGTATCTTGTTGGTAAGAATTTAAATTAGGAATACAATATGATAAGCCAAACTTAATTTTTTTAGAAAACCAAAAATAAAGCTAGTACATGATGCTCTGAAAATTTAACTATGGGCTGGCATATAGCAAAAGGAAGTGAAACTGATACAATAAGAGATTTCTTCTTGTCCATATTCATTGTAGAATTATTCACATTAGAAAAAATACAAAAGCCATTGTGCTAGACAGTATTATGTCAACTTAACACAAGCTAAAATCATCTGAGGGAACTGAAATTAAGAAAATGCCTCCATAAGATCAGACTATGCAAGCCTATAGGGCATTTCCTTAATTAGTGGCAGATGTGGGAGGGCCCAGGCCATTTGTGGGTGGTGCCACCCCTGGGTTGGTGATCCTAGGTTCTCTAAGAAAACAGGCTGAATGGTAGAGAGATGGCTCAGAGGTTAAGAACACTGTCTGTTCTTCCAAAGAAAGCAAGTTGAGCAAGCCATGGAGGAGCAAGTCAGCAAGCAGCACTCCTCTATGGCCTCCACAGCCACTGCCTCATTTCCTGCCTCCAGGTTCCGGCCCTGTTTTGAGTCCTGACTTCTTTTGATGAACTATGAAGTGGAAATGTAAGCCAAATAAACTCCTCCCCAACTTACTTTTGGTCATGGTGTTTAATCAGAGCAATAATAACTCTGACTAAGACATCCATTTAAGTATCTGTCAATGGATCAAGAAAGTATGGTATATATGTAATGGAACACTCTTCAGGCATAAAAGGAAACCCTGTCATTTCAATTGTCATTGCTTGGGTGTAATTGGAGAACACTAAGTGACATAAACCAGGCACAGATGCAAACTTAATGTGCAATTTAAAATAATCTAATGTATAACCTAAAGAAATGGGTCTCATGGGGGAATATATTAAAGGGTACTAAGATTCATTTGGAATAAGTTCTGTATATCTCCTGTATATCATAATGATTGCGATTAATAATAATATGTATATTTGCAAACAGCTTAAAAGGGAGATTTAAGTGTTTTCACCACAAAGAAACATTAAACATTACATCTGTTATTATCCTATAATGTACTTATAGAAAAGCATCAAATTGTGCACCATAAATTATGCAATAAATATCCCTTTGCTTATGAAAATTACAATTATTTGAATATAATGTTGGTTCCACAATT